CTAAGTAAGTAATTCATCAGGAGATAATTAATGGCTGGCAACAGGTATTTATAATGGAAGCATACATGGCCTTAACGATAGGGTTTGCTTCTGAAAACACTCTAATTAAAAAGGGAAAGAGTAATTTTATAGGAAAGTACAAATCGGTGGTGTGTATGTCTGCTAATGTGGGCAAAGAGACAGAGGTGGTAATTGCTGGACCCAGACCAGGTATCAGCAACAGCTGAACATAATGACCTTATACATATGCAAATACGATTTCTGATAAAGCTAAAACTGCATCATTATTATTATTCATCAATGTGGAATGGAATGTGAAATTGGAATCAGCAGGTGAGGGGTGGTTGTACCTGAATATCCTGGATATCAACTTTTTTTTTTTTTAAATCATTCTGATCTCTGTTAAGAATAATGTAACATGACTACTTTATCCTCTTTCTCAGATCACTGATTCAATCATTGTTCTTTCAAATCTTTGCCTCCTTTCCTCTTATAACACTTACTAACAGTCTAAGCAGAAAGAGAAGAACAGATAGTGGTAAGACCTAGGATGTTTACCCCACTAAGATCTATGTCTGAATCCAGAAGGAACAGCTCATTGCTGAGAAGAGCCCTGACAATTCACGCCTCTGTTTCTTTCTTTTGCAAGATATAGCTACCTCAAAAGTCTTCCTTAATCGAACTCTTATTGCCTGGAATCCTTTCTGCTGATGACTTTCATTTGAGAGTATTTACTAAAGGCAATGGTTGGGGAAATAGATATTTTTAAAATAAGGGAAGAAGTAGATAGGGTAAACCCAGACTTACTTATGTAAACTCCAAGTGCTGAAGTTAGAAGACAACCTTTAAGTTACAAAAAAAAAAAAAACAAGCTAGAACATGTAAAAGACAGTTTAGTTCCTTACCCATCCACCACTTGGTTTTGAGGAGAAAAGGGAAGTAAGAAGAGTTGAAGAGAAGGACAACAGAACAGAAGAAGAGTGGGAAAGGAAGGGTAAAGGGTGCTCTGGAGCACTATGCACCTGTTTAAAGTGGGGAAGTAGCACGAACACTGGCAAAAGAAGAACCACCATGGAGTTCCTCCTTGCACATCTCTCTCCCCTCCTGAAGGCCTAGGGTGAGCTCACTGCCCCCTGAGACTCTCTCACTGCCCTTAAGATACCTCTCTGAAGTCCCTCCAAAGAATTCAGTGTGCCCCCAGTCCAAATCAGTTTCCTCCATCATAAATACCCGTAGATAACCACACGATAAAGCATCAATGATGACAATGGCAATTTTGTGTGTCAAACACTGTGTTAAGCACTTTACCTGCTTTATTGTTTGTAATGCTCCAACAGCTTATGGGTAGGTATTATTATTCCTACTTCACAGTACAAAAAAGTGAAACCTGAGTAAGTTGTCTGAGATTACACAGCTGCTAAGCATTGGCACAGGGATTTAAGCCCAGGTCTATCTGACCAACTCTGATGGCACATAGTTGACCTCTGCATGGTCCCGCCTGCCCACAGGTCACTGCCTCAGTGATCCAATCTCATCTATTGTTTAGATGACCAACTTAACCACTAAATAAGTTATCCTTGAACCATTCATTGTAAGCCTAGTCTCCCAAGTTTATTGTGAGTCAAGGGCTAGGTCATATACCTCTTTTGTGCTCTTCTATATCATGACACCCAATCTCTTGCTTGTCAGCTTCCAACTCTGGGGCTTAAGTTTAAGGATTTCTTTTTCTGGTAGCTGTCCCTTACAGGGGAGATGTTCAGACAATTCTATTGATTGGTTTCACCTTACAATTTTTTATTTTGAAATACTCTCTTCTAAGTGTTCCTAATAAATTTTTCAAAATCAGCAAGGAAAAAATTTCTATTTATTGCCAACTATTTATAAACATTAAAACATCAATTTAAAATTTAAAATAACCTATAATACCACCACTATTAGCATCTTGGTGTGTTTTATTCATTTGTTCTTCGTATGTATATTTTTACAGAGTTGTAATCAAGACATATGTATAGTTGGGTTTTTTGTTTGTTTGTTTTTCGTTTTTTTGTTTTCTTCAGACAGAGTCTTGCTCTGTCACCCAGGCTGGAGTGCAGTGGCACCATCTCGGCTCACTGCAACCTCTGTCTCTCAGGTTCAAGCAATTCTCGTGCCTCAGCCTCCCAAGTAGCTGGTATTAAAGGCGTGCACCACCATGCCCAGCAATTTTTGTATTTTTAGAAGAGCTGGGGTTTCACCATGTTGGCCAGGCTGGTCTCAAACTCCTGCCTTCAGGTGATCTGCCCGCCTCAGTCTCCCAAAGTGCTGGGATTACAGGTGTGAGCCACCATGCCCAGCCGACATACATATAGTTTTTATCAAGATTTCTTAGGTAATTCATATATCATAAATATTTTCTTTGTTTTAGTAGTTGCCATACATAGCATTGTTATTGTCTGCAAGACATCCCAGCCTTAATTAATATATAGTGCTAGAATGCTTTCTGCATTAGTTTTGGGATCTGAATCCAGAAGTTGTCCATATTATTTCAAAGACAGCCTTTGGGGACAGTTCCTCCATACTTCTTTTATTGCCGGTCATGATTGGATGAATAAGTAGACTCCTCTTTATCTTGAATCAGGGAGATGGATGAGCCCAAAAGAATCCCCTGTTGTTGCTCTCCAATCCCCTCTCTGGCATTTACAAGTCTTCACCACTCTCCTGGAGCCTCTTTCCTTCTTTCTGTTCCCCATTTTCTTCCTAGCAAAAGGCTTCACTTCCTACTTCACTAAAGATGTCTCCTAGTTCAAATATCACTTTCCCTGCAAAAGCTTCCCTAGCCCTCACCATTTCTACACTGACAGGCCGTCTAAGGGCTCCCTGTTACCTCTCCTCTCAGCCTAGCAACTTATCTCTTAATTACCCACCTTTACTTCTCTCCATTATATCTCAGAAAAAAGAGTCTGTCCTTTCAATGCTAATTCTTCAGCATTGGCCATTGATTTCATTCCCCTCTGCCTTTTCTGGGACCATTTTGCATTCATTACCCACTGATTCCCACTCTCATCATTCATCTTTCCTTCTCTATTGGTTTACTCCCTCAGCCAACAATTTTCTTCCAGACACACACACACACACACACACACACACACACACACACTCTTTCTATTGTATTTCTATTTCAAATTCATCTTTCCTTTCATTTCCAAACCTCTTAAAAGAGTGGTTTATCCTTTGCTGTTTTTATTTCTGCAATTTATTACAGCTTCCTCTCATTACATTTTTTGAGCACTTACTATGTAAAAACAATGTTGAAGTAGAGATCGATAAAAGAGTCTCTACTCCCGAAGAGCTTCAATTAGTAGGGAAGACAGTAAATCGAAACAACACAACACAATAAAATAAATCTTATCACATAAATATGTGCAAAATTATCCATGGGGGGCTTCCTAGAGGAAATTGGAGAGACTTCCTAGGGAGGTGACATTTGAGTTAGGCCCTGAACAATGAGTGCAATATTATCAGGCAGAGACTGTACATGTATTGCACATGACTGACAGGAACAACTTATGCGGATAACTGAGAAATCATATTAATGATTACTTAGGAAATACCAAGTAGTTCCAGTGTGGTAAGAGCTGGGTTCCTAGTAAGGAACATCTGAGGAAGAGATGAAGAGTTATTTAGGCTAGTAGTTCTCAAACTTTAGCACTTTAGAATCACCCAGAAGACTTATAAAAATGCAAACTGCTAGGCTTCATTCCCAAAGTTTTGGAAGGAGTGTGGGGTGAGCCAGATAATTTACATTTATAACAAGTTCCCAAGTGATACTGTTGCTGCTGATCTGGAGACCACACTTTGAGAACCACTGGCTTAGTAATCCAGCTTCTGCTTCAGCTGTTCTAGTGAAAATACTTTTAGATGTCTCCAAAGATCTCCAACTGCCAAATCCAATGAATTCATTCTCAGTTTTCATTTTCCTTGATGAGTTTGCAGCATTTGACATCACTGGCAATTTCAGTGACCTCTTAACTGTCTCCCAGCTTTAAGTCTCTCTTTTAACCCATTCAGTACTCTGAAACCCACAGGACTGTCCAAAATACAAGTACGAACCCATCACTTCATACTTAAAACCCACCAATGGCTCCCCATTCTCTGCAGTTAGAGCCCAAACTGCACAGACTGACATGGAAAATCCATTGGCATTCTGACCACGTTTACGTCTGCCCCTGTTGCTGCCCAGGATTGCATAGCCTTTATTCCAGGCACATCAAGCTACTAGCCAGTCCCCAGACATGCTATGGGCTCATGTTCTCTTCAGCTCCCTATATGCACTTTCCTTTGCCTATAATGCCTTTACTGCCTCCCCTTCCCTATCCCATCCTCCCCTGGACCCATAGTGATATAGTGGAACCATAGTGATATGGTTTGGATGTCTGTCCCCTCCAAATCTCATGTTGAAATGTGATCCCCAGCGTTGGAGGTGGTACCTGGTGGGAGGTGTTGGATCTTGATGGCAGATCCCTCATGGATGGCTTAGTGCCACCTCCATGGTGATAAGCAAATTTTCACTCTGTTAGTTTACACTCTTGTGGTTGTTTAAAAAGAGCCTGACAGCCCCCCTCTCTGTTGCTTTCCGTCTTACCATATGACACACTGGCTCCCCTTTGCCTTCCACCATGATTGCAAGCTTCCTGAAGCCCTCGCCAGAAGCAGATACTGGCACTATGCTTCACCTACAGGGTGCAGAACTGTGAGCCAAATAAACCTCTTTTTTTTGAGACAGAGTCTTGCTCTGTCACCCAGTCTGGAGTACCCTGGTGCAAGCTCCGCTCACTGCAACCTCTGCCTCCCAGGTTCAAACAGTTCTCATTCCTCAGCCTCCCAGGTAACTGGGATTACAGGTATGCAGCACCACACCCCGCTGATTTTTATCTTTTCAGTAGAGACAGGCTTTTGCCAAGTTGGCCAGGCTGGTCTTGAACTCTTGACCTCAAGTCATCCACCTTGGCCTCCCAAAGTTCTGGGATAATAGCCGTGAGCCACCACACCTGGCCAAAATAAACTTTTTTTCCTTTTAAATTACCCAGTCTCAGATATTCTTTTATAGCAATGCAAAATGGACCAATACCCATGGAATCCTGGCTGAAGGCCTAGCTCCAATCTCATCTCCTCTGCAAACCTTCCTCACCTTTCTGGTTCCTTTTCCTGAGGCCTTCCATTGGCTGGTTTCTAGATATTATATATACCACTTAACAACTAGTTGAACACATGATTACTATACGGGGACTTGCTTGAGTCTCTGAATCTTACTCTGAATCTACCGTATTATTTTCGTTATTCTCATAAAAGGCTTTCAATATAGATGTATTGAATGAATGTTGAGAACATAGTACACATTTGATAAATAATGATTTGAGTAGGCAGCTGCTCCTTACCCAGTGGAACAGGCAAGCAGGCAAAGAGGAGGAGGACACAAAGAGAAACTTTGTTAATGAGCAAGAATCAAATGTGCCACCTCACAGCCTCCTGACTCCCTGCCTGAGAGGGTGAACTACAGGCTATTTTCCATGATTCCCTCTTTCTTTGATGACACAGTGGTTTGTCAGCTCTGTGGACTGGGCAGTTATGCAGCTGCCTTTCTTGCTTTCAGCAAAATGCTTGCTGGAGGATTTATTCAAAGCTGAGGAAAAACACCTGGGGGGACTGGGCAGGAAACACTTCAGTAGTTTGTCTTGGTGCATGCACCAGCAGCAGACAGCCATTTGCCTTCCATTCCTGTTCTGCAACTGAAGAAATGCTGGGAGATTATCTGCCTCCCGGAAGAAGAGAGCCCACCTTCCATCCATTCTTCTCTCTTTCATCCTTAGTCTTACCCCTGCGCATTCTGATTGTCGTGGTGACCAGATCCTGCAGAAATAAAACAGGCCTGGGTTCCTATGTGACTGGGCTGTATTCTCCTCGTTATCTAGTAAAACCATGACATTAAGGCAGCATCTATCAACTATTGAGCTCAGAACACCCATGCCTTTTGTCACCTAGCCTTTCCCCGTCTCTGTGCAAATGGCTACTAAAACAGCCATTTATAAAGTGACTCCTATGTGCTGGGTATTTTGCATACATGATCTCATTAGATCCATACAACATTCCTGCAAGATAGATACCTTTATCTCCATTTAACAATTAAAGATGCTGAGGCCCAGAGAAGTCAAATAACTTATCCAAGGTTGACAAGCTAATAAGTGGTAGGGATCAGATTTGAACCTATGGTGCAACAATTTTAAAGGCTATATTTTTTCCATTAGTTATATCATCTTGGAGAACTACAAAAGCTGAAAGTTACAGACTCAGCCAATGTCATAGCAGAAATTAAATTCAAGGTGTTCTGATTTCCACAGCAGCCTACAAATATCCACCATATTGAAAGAGCTGTTTGAATGGGTATATTTAATGTTCCAAGAATTTATGACACTTAAAAATATATGTTGATACTACAGTTTGGAAAGGACCCAGAATTGGAAAGGCTGCCTGATTATCCATGAGTGTCCCTTGTCCCTACTGTCCTGTAGTCAGTGCCCCCTCAAAGTTGAATGCACCTGAGTAGAGATACTTTCTTGTCACCAAAAGTCATGCATTTACTTTTGATTCAGACCCTCTGCGGAAGGCAGTGCTTTTAAAATCTTCCCTTCTCTTCTTTTTGTTTGACGAAATATAAATGATGGTTTATTTCTAGAATGATGCCAAATTCAATAAAACAATGACAGAGTTGTGTTTTGTTTTCTGGTCAAGTTGACACCATAAAGTAGGTTTTCCTGAATGTTTCCCTGTTCCACTGGTGCTCTTGGCATTGTGAATAAACAGAGCTGGTGATAACATCCATCATAAGAGTTAAGCACATCGAGTGGGTGATAAAGTCAACAAGAAGCTGAAAGCAAGATTTACCAGGGATAAGCTGCCAAGAGTTGGCTGTAGATTCTAAGTGGACACTGTGGCTCATTCATCTTCGCCCTTCAGCTTTCTACCCCAACAACATCATCCCTGCCCCAGCACTCATGACAAGAGTAGGAAAGAGAAGGAAAGCACAGGGGTCAAATACAGAAGACAAATACGTAGTATTGATCAGCCTGAGATAAAATATAAAGACTCATTAGTAGCTTCTTGAGTACTGAGAGAGAACAAAGAAAATAGTTTTTTTAAGTAAAAATGAACCAACTAACAAACAAAGGTCGTATTTCAGAAGGGCAAGTAGACACAAATCATCACTGGGCTTCTTTTAAGCAGCATTCTGTTTTCTTGTCCTAACCTATTTCAAACTAAGGAAGTTCTAGGGTCTATTGTTCAAAGATTTGAAATTGTTTTCCTTGGATTATTCCCACTCTTAAATGTTTCTTGCCTCTTCTCAAACTTGCGTTTAAAATGTCCAGGTTTCCCTCAAGCATCTTAATTACAACTGCATCTTTTAAATTACCCAACCTGTTGAAAGGCTACCGTGAAAGGAGCTTCTACAAACAAAATCTGGGCTGTGTTTTTTATTATCTTATGTTGTAAAATGTGAATGAGGAGCTCCTTCCAAATGAATAATTAGCACAAAGGCTGCTGAAGCAGAGGAGAGATAGGTGGGCTACGGTCTCATGGAAAATGTCACTGTTGTTTCTGCAAGGAATATGTACATTAGCAAAGAAGCTCTTTGCTAACAAATGTGAAAGGGCTTCACACAGTTCATGGCATATAAGTGCTCATAATTTCTTTGCTGCATCAGAATCCTTTCTGTAGTCTACTTCTCAAATAATCAACCGTGGCGACCTCCATTTCCTCACCATCCCGTCTCCTTGTGTTCCTTCTGTTACAGGAATTGCAGCCCTATCACCTATCACAATGCTTTTCAACCCTTTTCTTTTCATCCTTGCCTTCCTAAGGAGGCTTTTCAGACATTTTAAAAAATTGCTCTTCTCCATAACATTTTGGCACCACAGTGTAATGTTGAATTTTATGTGTCACCTTTACTGGACTAAGGATTGCTGAGATCACTGGCAAAGCATTATTTGTGGGTGTGTCTGGGAGGGTGTTTTTGGAAAAGGTTAGCATTTGAATTGGTAGAGTGAGTAAAAGATTACCCTTGGCTGTGTGGTTGGGCATCATGCAATCCCTTGAAGGCCTGAATAAAACAGAGAGGTGGAGGAAGCACAAGCTCCCTCTCTCTTCTGGAGCTGGGATATCCATCTTCTCCTGCCCTGGGATGTTGGTAGTGTTTCTGGTTCTTGGGCCTTTATATTTGGACTGGGACTTACAGGATTGGCTCCCCTGGTTCTCAGGCCTTCTGGCTTGGACTGGAGTTATAATATACCTGGGCTTCCAACTTGCAGATGGCTGATCATGAAAACAGTTTCCATAATGGCATGAGCCAATCTCCCATAATAAATCTATTTCTGTTTATCTATATACATGCTGTCAGTTCTGTTTCTCTAGAGAACCCTAATACACACAGGTATATTGTGATATCAGTTCATGTATTTTATATATATATATATACATATATATATATATATATATCTGTACTTTGTACATTTAAAAAATTAAGTTGTTTTTTATCCCCCAAGAACAATCCTCACTCCCAGTGAGACTGTGCAACCTATCAGACCACAGCAGACTGATTTATGATACAACAGAAGTAGATCGCAGAAATAGATGCTAGACAAAACTGATTCGGGCAAAAACTGATGCAGATGTCAGGCATACAAGTTTGTCTAGATCAGGCTTAGTAAAGGTAAAGACAGACAGATGGCCATAAAGGTTAGCTAAATAAGACACAGGTTGGAGAATACAGCTGACAGCAGTGTTGATGGAAGATCGGAGGGCAAGGTTCAAGGCAGGCAGAGATGTGAAGACTATTTGTCCACTGGGTCAGAGGATGCCTTATGTAGAGAAATTTCATCATCCAGAAAAGGTCCACAGAAGAGAAATTATTCTCAGGTCTGAAGCCAGACTTCAACATTTTGCCTTTGTTCCTGAGGAGCCTGGACTACCCAGCCGACCGTGCCCTATTGATGGAAATCTCTGATTATTATAGGGGAACACATTATGTTGGCTCCTATATTCCCTGAGAACCACCTACGTCTCCTAGTACTTTGAAGTCATGGTATCAGATGAAAGAACCAAGCCTTCCAAACTGACTTGGAGCTGTACTGGGGTGTTCATGGCCTCAAGCATACAAGCAGGTTGATCAGATATGAGGTCTGATATTCCTTTTCCTCAAGTCATTTATCTTCTGGAGATCCTAACTAACCTAACCTCTCCTAATCTAAAAGGAGCAGACCCAGGGTTCTGACTGGGCAGTCTCAAAGTTATGCTTCCTGAAACCATTAGGATCGCTTCATAGTCACATCCAATAGCCTTTCTCTTTCTCAGGCCTGCAGCTCACGGCATGTGGTGCTGCCTTTTCCATTCACCTCTCTAATTAGAGGTCAACCACTTTCACTGCAGCCTTCACCACACTCTGCCTCTACAGTCTTCTGAATGCTGTGTTTGAGGGTCTTCTCAGTCTCTTCCTTCCTCTTTATCTTTATCAAAGGCACCCTTTTAATCTTTTGGTTCCTTTCTGTTTCCCTCCATGCTCATCTGTTTATATGTTCAGTTTAAGCTCATAAACATAGTTGAGTGCTTGCTATATGCCCAGCACTGATATAAACAAGAACAGCCCTTGCACATTCTTGTGATGGAACAGATATGTATATAACTGAGCAAAACACGATGTGAAATATGTAATAAAGATATGTACAAAATGTCTTAGGAACTCAAAAGAGGAAGTGATGAATTCTGTCTTGAGAAAAATAAAAGGCATTGCAGAAGGAGAAAATTGTGCTTTGAGAATGAATTAGGGATTTATGAAAGAAAAGTTGGAGGAAGAGCATTACAGACAGAGAGATGAGGATGGGACAGGAACAGCATGACCAAGAAGGGTTAGAAAGTCCATGTAACTGGAGGGGAAGTAGGGAAGAGTGGGCAGGGGGAGTGGTAGGCATCAACCCTGGAAAGTCAGGAATGCATCACAGCTGTAGTCCCCATTTAAACCTACATGTCTAGTTAACATTCAAATTGATCACTGCACGCCCTGGCACTTTCATTTTTTAAAAAGTAAATTTAGCTCATACTGCTTACTATATGCCATGTAACATGTTTGGTGCTGTTCCCTCGAGAAATCAAAATATAAGAGACAGGTAAGGATATGTTTTAAGTTAATATGTGCAGTACACGCTGACCCATGCAGTGATGGTAGTGTGTATATAACGCAAAATAGAGAGCAGTTGGCTCTGAGCAGAGCATGCTTCAGAGAAAAAGTGATAGCTGAGCTTTAAGAGATTAATTGGGGTTGGGTAATGCGGTTCTTCCCAAAGATATCCATACCCCAAACTTGCAAATGTGACCTTACATGTCAATGATTGCTTTCAGATATGACTAAGTTCAGGGAAGATGGGAAGATTAGATTATTCAGATGAGCCTGATGTAATCACAGGGGTCCTTATAGAAAAAGGAGGTGGGAGTGTCAGAGAAACAGATGTGACAATGAAAGCAGAGGTTAGAGTGACAGGGACATCAGCCAAAAACAAAAACAAAAAACAAAAACTGTGGTTAGAAGGTGGAAGAGGCAAAGAATAGAGTCTTTCCTCAAGCTCCAGGAGGTATGAAGATCTACCAACACCTTAATTTTAGCCCCATGAAATAGCCTCATTTCAGACTTCTGATCTGGAAAAGAGTAAGTTTGTGATAGTTTGTTACAGCAACAGGAAATAAATACAAATGGGAAAGCAACCAGGGTGTTGGGGGTGAGAGCATTCCAGGCAGAAGGAATAGCATAAGCAAAGTCACAGAGACATGAAATGGAAGGGCATACTCTCAGGCCAGGGGTTACAAGT